CAAATTTTGCTTGAAACATTTTCTTTCACAATTCAATCTTGCCGAGTTATTTGAAGAAAATGACTATGACCTTCAAATGATTTTCAAGGACATACGGGCAAAATATATTGGCCCCATATTCGGACATATAATTTGGCGCTACATCTATTGGTGGCATGAAAAATATTCCTTTTAATATTTTCAAGGTGACTTGGCTTGACCTTAAAACTTAAGGTCAAGGTCACTAGCATATTGGTTTCTTAGTATCCTACAACTTTCATCTGAAACTTTTCCTATAGGACATACTTGTCAAGGTGTTCGGGATTTTTTGGGACACCCTGTATAATAAACCAGTAGAGGAACCAGTGCAGGAAAATTTTTAAACGAAAATCATTTATTTGTTACAAAACATTATTGCATTTGAAAAATAAAAATGGGATTCATATTTTCGCTTCAACGAAGTTTAACTTAATCTAGAATAGGAAATTATAGAGTCGATTAAAAGCGAGGAAAGTTATAAGTAAAATTTTATTTAAAATCGGGAAATTACGGCCGCACTTAAAACTACCGGCGTGTAAAGCCCCTCCCGGATAATCCTCTGATGGCCGAAAAATGCAAACTAGCCGATATTTCCTGGGATCCCGCGGAGGTGCCTATTAAAAATTAACTTTAAAATCAGGTCGCGAGCAAGATAAATGCCCGCGCGTAAAAAAAACGACAACTGATTATAAATTAAGCGGCACAAAGTGGCGCCGCAGCTTAAGCCGGGGTGTGTAGAGGGCTTTTATTGGTGATATATTGTTTTGCGGCGGAACTTTGCATCCCGATGGCTTATTTATAATTTACAAGACCACAGCGACCACGTTAAATTTCCGTTCGAACATGGCGCTGGGGCGCTTCGCGCTCGTTTGCCGTTCTCTTCCCGAATTCCCCTTTGCCCTTTGATTTAAATTCTGCGTTGCTGTTGGAATCCAGTTTCAAGAAGGCGTTTTATGCTCTTGACTGGCTGGGACAATCATTTACACCTAAATCTTTAAGGTAATTATGAAATATTTATGCAACAAGTGTGGAAAACAAAACGGAAAGGGCAAATATGAAATCGCAAGCTTTAAGTACTAAGGGCTCATCGAAATTTATTTTCAGACATATCTTTTTACAGCATATGAAAGTCCTCGTTTTTGTCTCCAACTTTTATCGAAACAGTTTTTCGATATCTCTTCCCGTTCAAAAAGTATAAAATAATGAGCGTTCAAATAAAAACGTGGTCGAAGTTGGCTCTGACATATTGGACGTAGGGAGTAGCTTATAGCGACCAACTTAACCTCATTTCTCAACGAGCTGTATAGCAGCTGTCAGTTTCAGTAACGTTAATGACTATATAACTTTATTTTAAAGAATAATCGTGATAACAATAACAAACAATTAAAGGAGCTGCGGAAAGTGTCCCCCTCCTTGTTATAACAATAAATTAAAGCAGCTACTGAAAGTGTCCCCCTCCTTGTTCCAAGCACTTTTCACACCTGTTCCTCAAAGAATTAAAGACATTTTCTAAGATGCTCGGGGTATTGTTAATTTCACGAATCTTGTCTATAAGTCGAGCCTGCAGATGGTTTAAATCAGGAATAGGCAGTTCAAAAATAGTGTTTTTAAGGTAAGGCCACAAAAAGAAATCACACGGCGTAATATCACATGACCTCGGTGGAAATTCATGTTCAGCATTGAGACTTATTAGTCGATTTTGGAAAACTTCCCTCAACATATTCATCGTCTCGCCTGCCGTATGTGCCCTTGCGCCATCTTGTTGAAAGTAAAAGTTTGTAATTTCGTTTTCTTCCAGCTGGTTAACAAAAGGAGCGATAATTTCTTCTCTATACCTTTGCGCAGTAAGAGTACCATTAAAAAAAATAGGTCCATAAATCCTCCTTCGATTGAGAGCACACCAAACTCCAATTTTTTGAGCGTGTAGAGGGCCCTCGACAAAAAAGTTATCTGGTTTTTCAGAAGACCACATTCTCATATTCTGTGAGTTTACGTAACCACTTAAATGAAACCAGGCTTCATCAGAAAAAAAGGTGATATTATGAAGTTCACCGTAGTTGTTTAAAAACCATTCACAAAATACAGCCCGTCGCGGAAAATCAACTTCATGAAGTTCTTGCTGACAAGTTAAACGATAGGAGAACAAACGCAAATCTTTTTTTAACACTGTGTGGCAGGTACCGACTGATACTCCCACCATTTGTGATAAAACACGTACAGAAGTTCTTGGCGCATTTTCCATTATTTGTTGGACATTTTCTTTTAATTCTTCAGTCCGCTTTTTAGGTCGGCCGCTTCCTTCTTTTCTTGTTACACTGCTCGTTTCACGAAGAACATTAACACAACGCTGAACTGCACTTTGAAAAAATTTTTACTCAACAACGCCGGGAAATTGATTTTGAAATTCTATGAAACATTCCTCAATAGAATACTTCCATTCCATCAATCTTGCGTCCATTTCTAAAGTAGGACTCTATAATAAACACTTTTTGTTCTTGAGAAAACACCATTTTAAACGCTTTTTAAAATGAAAATATTCAAATTGATAGCGGCGATATAGCGCTTTGACAGATGACGTTTAAGTTCATTTGCCATACGCTACGCCCTACGTCCAGATTTTCAGAACCAACTTGACCACGTTTTTATTTGAACGCTCGTTATTTATAGAGAAAACACAGGTTCGATCAAGTCTGTTACTTATTTTATCTAGGCCAGGAAAATAAGCTGCTAAATGACCATTTCGCAACTTTTGTACAATAATATATTAGTTTCCAGTCATAGAAATTGTTTAGAGGGTGGTTAATTGTATAATTTTTACGTAAATTCACGTTTTTGCTTATAACTTTTTTCCGTTCATTTCCACGAGAAAAGAATAAAGTACTTTTATTTCGTCTCCAAAAGACCTACAAAACTAGCCCTCGAGCGTCAAAAAATATTAATTAGATCAAAAGTTATAAACAGAAGAAGTTCATTTATGACTTTTGAATTAAACATTTATAAACTGCGTTATTATTAACCAGAACGTTTTGGCATCGCATCCTATCATTCCTTATCACTGTCTAATAACTCACACGAAATCTGGTATCGGTAAGTTGAATAGTTTACAAGTTATGGGCTTATAAACAAATTAACTAATTATTAGTCTGGATGATCCCGAGGATCTTCCACAATCGCAATGATTTTTTTCATAGTAAATTTCATAATAATACATTGAAATCTATCATTTTTTTTTTTACTTTCAAATTTGCAACCTGGATTTTTTTAGCCTTAGTTGCAAAATGAAATATACGACGCACGAGCGTGATATAGTTATATATTATTACGTATTCGGAAAGTTTATGAAAAGAGCTTTAAGTTAAAAAAAAATCGTCAATATTCGTTGAAAAACAACGGAGTTACAACCTGTCAAATATATTATTTTCAAGCGAATTTCGCTTTTTTAACGGCAGGACTATGAATATTATCGTCATTTTCTTCGGACTCGCTGTCGTTCGCTTCCCCTACCCTTCCGCCGCGCCACGGTTCTCCGAAAATCAAGCGACTTTTGACAATATTTCTTATGCAGTTAACATACTTCCACAAATAAAATATTTTTATCTGGGAAAGTACTCGGGTTGCCGGTTATGCCAGTATTTTTTTTGCCTCTACCAACCTAATTTATTTAATAATAGGCCGTCAACTTTGACAGTCGGTAACTCCGTTGTTTTTCAACGAATCTCGACGATTTCTTTTTTAATATAAAGCTCTTTTCATAAGCTTTCCGAATATGTAATAATATATAACTATATCACGAACATGTGAGTTATTAGACAGTGATAAGGAATGAGGGGAATTTGCGCAACCGAAAGAGATGAACTAGCCAGAGAGTGACCGCAAAAATTTTCGCCCGTTTTTTCACAATTCGCAGAGAATTTAAAAAAATACATAAAAATATGTTTTTGGTCGCAAATTAGTTACTTGTCGTAAAAAACTGAAATTAGCATAGCTTTTAAAATTTTAAAAATCGCCCCTATTTAGGGGCTGAAAAAATGCCAAAAACGAAGAATTTGACCAATGGTATTTTTAAAGTTAAAAACATAAACCCTACAATATCGTTTTGACCAATTAAAGTCGAATAAGTCTTTCGCTGTTCCATTACCTAACGGTGTGCAATTCTAAGTTTCCACATGAAAAAGGGCGTCTGAACAATATCTGGTTTGCAAATAACAAACACTTCTCACGGTGTTGACCATTATGAAACCTACGTGTACTATTGTAGTATGTAAATATCTGATAGACGATAGCGAAAATTGCGTGTGATTTTTATTTCACGTGTACAACATCCGGTCATTTTTGTGTACGGAAACAGTTCACGTACTGATAACCACGGTGAGTAGGTAATAATGGCTGGTTTTTTTATGCATTCGCGAGGGAATCATATTTGATTACGATTATTACTTTTGTGTGCTTGTTCAACTAATGATGATTATGATTTTAAAAATTTACCTCGTTACGCATGATGAAACGTAATAAATTTATTGTCGAATATTGTCCTCTCCAGTGGAGCCTCGATCCCGAGGACAACAATGAAAGTAGAATACGAAAAGAATCATACAGGTCAACTGAGTAGACGTTTGATCACCCACCATGACGGCTTCGCTAATCCTCGAGTCATATCTTCGCTGTTGCCGGCAACATCGAACTCTTTGCAGTTTATCTGCTATGTGTCTGTTGGATTATAAGCATTGGTGAAAATATCCAATATTGGTCGGAGCTGATTAAAATTCATTGAAGATTTGATTTATGCCATTGTTTATGTTGTACACAGTGGCGTAACTGTCCTGAGAATCAAGATTGTGAACTACTAATTTAATTTTTTTAGCTTTAGCAGTCGTCGACGAAATTTTATTTCAACTACCCCCCTTTTAATATTTATCATAGTCTACATCTGTTGGCCAGTGAATAACTGAACACTGTATAGATTATTTTTACTGTTTTTATAGATATGGTGGTGGATCAAACAGCTACAGATATAACAGGGACCCATATGAAGGTTATAGGACTACCAGCTATCTTTATGGAAGGCCATCTTCGACTACTTCCAAACCTCCTTCTGACAGTGGTTCCAGTAATACTCAATCACCGCAGGACAGCTCAGGCTAAGAATAGAGATACGTTTTAAATGGAATTACTTTAGTTATTACGAAAAAAAACTGTACACTCTATTTTTATTATTTATTCATATTGAGTTAGTTTTAAAGTGAAACAGTTATTTCTCATCTTACAAAAAATGACCCAACGTAGGACTAATTTTGCTATTTCAGTTTAATTTTTATTCATTGCATATATAAGTTGCGGGTCTCAGAGCAGAAGAAATTCTAAACATTAATATATTACGATTTGGCCAAACTTATCTAGAGTGTTAAAAGTAAAAATTTGTATCTTTTGTCCTAACTAGATCATCCTTTTTACAGCAATAAAATTTTTGTAGAATTTTTTACTAAAGTTGGTCTGGCTAAATTGTAATGTATTGTTTAGATTCCACTATAACCTTGAGACCCATCACTTGTAACACCCTGTATGTAGTAATTTCAATAAATGGCGCTGGTTGCTATCAGGGTTACGTAAAAAACTTAAGAGTGTACTCAAGACATCTTTGTTAGACGCTTTTTTTAAAGCCGAAGCATATTTTTTTTGAGAAATTTGTATATAATTTTCTGTCTACAGTCTACAGCAATAATATGTGCAATTTTCTCTCGATGTACAAATAGCAAACATGTCAATCAGTCTAGATAATAACTGTTTTTGTGTTTTCTAACCTTTAACCACTGAAACACTGCCCCACTTATTATTCATTGCCAGGTTTTACAATGTTTGATCTTGATCTTTAGAAATTAAGCTACCAAAGATCGTTTCTGTTTGTATTAGGATGTAAGAGTAGTAAGTATTAAAATTTATATTTCAAAATACTGTTTTTTTTTTTTGTAATTTCTAATAAGTCTTTTCAGTCAGTAAAGTAAAACACTTGTAACAGTTTCTTTGTAATTAAATAATTAAAATATTATTTCCAGCCTTAATACAAAAGCTGATACAAAAATAGCGTGTTTCATAATTTTGAAATCCGGCTATTTTTTTGCTCGAAAACGGCAACAAATGCGAAAACATTGCAAGAGACACAAAAGTTTCTAAATTGAACAGGGAATTAAACCCTTAATCTAGAAAAGACCAGTGACATACCGGAAGAAAGTTTAGGGGGCTGAAAAGAGGCCCGACCCCAGAAAAAGTATCACCCTATAGATCGTGGCGACTATTGAACAGGGCTAGTGATGCAAGCAATTTAGATTAGCGTAAGTTCCAAATTTGAGTTACTTATCTCAAAAACTGTGGGAGATAAAAAAAACAGAAAAGTATTGAAACTTTAACACCCTGTATCATGGTAACGAAGCATTTATAGACATACGTTTATATGAATTCTTTTACTTAAAATGCCCAGATTCACCCTCCTAAATAAAGACATACTATTATGTATAGTCTTTCCGTAGTCAGCATGTATAAAAACGCCTACCAATAAAATTTAGACGTTTCATAGACATCCCTAAAAAGTTTTCTGTTAAAGGTAACAAATTATAATAATTTGTATATAATGTGTAAAAAAATTTCTATTATATGTTCATTTGGCCAGCAACATATTTTAATTATTTATGTCCCCAAACAATTTTATTATACAGGGTCGGAAAGTATCGATGGTCCATCTGCCATTAAGTGAGAGCGATAAAGTAAGTCATAGAAATCCGTGCGATAGAGAAAGATGGCTATAATGAAGGCGTCTAATAGTCACCGCCCATTTCGCCCTTCCACAAATAAGAAGTGGATCTTATTTGTGGAAGGGCGAAACGGGCGGTGACTATGATACGCCTTCATTATAGCCATCCTTCTCTATCGCATGGATTTCTATGTCTTACTTTCTCGCTCTCACGTAACGGCAGATGGACCATCGGTACTTTCCGAACCTGTATTGATGGTAAATTTCGTGTTGTGCCATTTCAAAAGGTCTCCAGAATGCCATGTTGTAATAATATTAGTAAAAAAAATATCCCTCTTATTTCTCCCTTAATTATTATTTACTTAATAGAAGGTCCCTATAATAAGTTAAAATTACCTACCTGAATCACATCAAATTCCGGATTGCTGCACTGCACTGCTAGGCAATTTATCAATCACTTGTCAACAACTGAGATTTATTGCCCAGTTGCCCAGTGCGGCTGTGTTATACATTCTTCGATTGGGCGTATCATTTATACTGCTTCTACGTTTAGTTTGACCAGACCTGTATATGGGTTTGGCTAAATAAATATGTGAACAAGTTTTTCAAATATTTAATGCCGAGTTGCTGAGTCAGCGACCGAACCTGGTACATACTGCCACCCTCTTAGTTCTTCAGTTGAGATGGGAAAGAGTATAACACCCTGTACTGTAGTCATTTTTTAATTTTAATTAATAATAGGCATTTTCAACAACCAAAACTGTTGGAACTGTTAATAAAAATTAAAGTTGTCAAAACTTTTGAGAAGTTCTGAAATCATTTACACAAAAAGTAATGAATAGTTGAAGCAGCAAATAACGGACGGTCCGTTTCTTGTCCCTCTTTTGATAGTAAACAGAAAAAATGCTAGTTCAACTTCAGGTTATCATTAGTTCTACTTTAGTTTTCGTTACCGAAAGTGTGAACTTTTTTCCTGCGGGACTCGGTATTCGAGATACAGGGTGTTAAAGTTTACAATAAATTATATTTTCCGTCTTATCTTCATAATGTACTGACGTAATTGAGTGCATTTACTACAACGTATTCACTTAATTATACCTTTTATTGAAAGCAATAGTAACATCGTGGCTTTAACCAGTGGCGTGCTACTAAAGGTGCCGCCCCATTTTCCCCAGAAAAAATACGCCACTGGTGTTTTTTTTTTTTGCAGAAATAATGTAATTTCGGGTACTGTTACGCCAGTGCCGTATTCTTTTCTTGGAAAAAGTAGCACGTCACTGGTTAAAACCACGAGGTTAATATTTCATCAAATAAAAGGCTTAAATTATTTGAAAAATTCAATGAAACATAAAAACAAGCGCAAATACAGTCCGTACTATATTTGTTGATATAAAATTCTAAGAAAAGAATAAGCCAATAAAGTTCTATTATCTCGACTACTGTAACAATTTACCGGGGCAGAGACGTGCCTTGAAATTTTGCGCCACTGTCTTTCTACCTCGGGTGTCGAATGGGGTTAATTCCAAGTCTTCGTGGTCTTATATCTCAATATCGTACGGACTGTATCTCCTAAACGTCTGCTACTATTAACACCAAGAAATATTTTTCATTCATTCAACGTAACAGTACATGAATGTAACATTATTTCTATAAAAAAACGCCAGTGGCTTATTTTTTGGGAAAACGGAACGGCACCTTTAGTAGCACGCCATTGGTTAAAGCCATAGGGTTAATATTACATTAAAAAGAAGGTATAATAAATAGAACAAATTCTATTTATTCTTTGGTAATGAATCTATTCCTGCAATTTCTGCAATTAAAGTGAAATCACCCTGTATATTTTTTAATTTGTATTAGTCAAAATATAACAATAAATTCAACAAAGGAACATAATCAAAGTTAGCCTTCTACATTATACCATTGCAAAAAGCAATATTAAAACTTCGCATGAGCATTTAAAGAAAAAGCGACACTTATTGAACATCTTTATCTAATTTTATAAATTCAACATGTGTTTATTTTGATAATTCAAATACGGATACAACAATCATAATATCATAACCACTTCAAGTCAATATAAATTATTTAATATTATTTAATATATTTATATGCATTCACACCTTACTTAAAATTCAGTATTATAATAATCACGCTAGAAAAACGATTTTTTTTTAATCAATTTAAACGTTATTTGCCGTAAATATGTGAGAAAATCTCAAAAAGAAATTTCCATTATAATCATGATTTGAGGTTTTTCAGTTCAAAAACGTGACCCTTTATTTTTTTCAAAAGTTTCACTGTTTGAAACAAAAAAAAACTGTTCGCTAGATCGAGATGAAACTTCACAGGATTCTACTGGGTATATCGAACTGTAAAAGTCATGCTTAACATTAGTCCTTTCGTGAATATTTTTAATTTAGCTGTCAGTTTTCTAAAAAACCGTAAATCACCTTTTTTTTCCACGTTTTTTAAAATTCGTGTTAAAGATGAAAAAAAATTTCCAAGTCTTTGGACTTGCAAAAAAGAAAAAATTTTTCAAAATTTTTTTGTCGCGCTATTTCGTAAGATTGCATGATACGACCATTTTTCACCTAAATATAGTCTGTCAAAAATCACGGAAAAATTTCGGAAATTCTTTTCACCATTTAATTTTTTGCATTAGTTTATCGAGTTTATTCTACGACTGTAGAAAATTATATTCTCTTATGTTCTCAAAGATTGTCGACTTAATCCCCAAACACCCAAACTAGGTTACTTAAACATCGGATATCACGTAAGAATTAATAATCTGTGATTCTAGAATATTATATATGGATCATTCATACCAAGTAAAATTTAAAGACTGGGTTATTTACATAGCCTTCATAAATGATTACAAGTCACATGACCAGTAATTTTGTTTGGAACAGTAATTTTATTTCACTCATGTTGTTCAAGTTGATTTGTTTCGGGATTTTTCTCCAAAGTGACCTATTTACAAAGTAATGAATTTGCACCACACTGTGTAATAAAAATACCCAGTACGGTAGCTGTAAGAGTCTACCTTTTTATACCTTTGACTTTCAGTATGTTTTTTAAACTGTTAGGAAACTCAGTCCAATAAAGTCGTGTCACAAACACGATATTTTATTTATTTTTCATCACGGAGTAACTATTTTTTTTTAAACCTAGAATTAACACACCCCTACAAATATCGCTACCTCGCCGTTTTGTTTATGCACTCTAGTTATAATATTTACACATGTTAATTATTTGTTAACTCGCCTAAATTTCTTTAACAAACCTCGCCTCAGACATCTAGCTCCAAGGGAGTACACGTGTGACATCACTCGTAGAAACTTCGGCAACACTTTTATAATTAATTCGATCCAGCTTGCGAGCTTAACAGTAACCATCCTCCGCGGCATATTGTTTGAAATAAGCAAGATACGCCTCTGAGAGACGAACAGAAAATAGAAACAGGCCGAACACAGAAATAGAGGAGCGTAACTTTGCTCATAGAAATTCTTGTTTGCAAACTATCTCCCAACAACTGTTCGACAAACTGTTTTTGCAACCATTATCTCTTCGAAATTCGCGCATATTGGAAACTTACCACCAGCACCATAAAGGGGCTCGGGTTGCGGCTTGTTAGCAATGTGTGTCGGAACAAATCGTGAATGCAGAAACTTGCGCAACCGGATAGTTGTTGAAGAAAATGTAGGTCTGGAGAGGCCTGTACACGTTATGTGCAATTTAACTGATTACGGGCAAAGTGTACGACTTCACGCTGTAGTGAACTGTGTAAGCTGAAGTAAATTAATTAGATGGCAAGTTGGGGCATATTTCACTTGAGCCACGGAACTCTCCCACTTTGAATAACGTTAACGCTAGCATTTAAATGTTGTTGCAGCCAGACAGTTGCCATTCAACAAGCTTCTGACATAGGCGTATATAGTGACCCTTGTCTGAAACTTCGTATTTACTCTTATTCGTATTATGTTGCTTCTCTTTGTATTAAAGTCGCTGTACAACGAACTTCTTATTCATTAAGAAGTTGCAAGTGTTTTTTCACTATTTTTACTGTCCATGAAAATCTAGACGACCTATCGGAAAATTAGTCATTTTATGTTGTAGTCAATAAAATTACCTACAATTTAAGGTACCTAGTCATATTTCACCAATTTGGTAACTGTCAAATAAAGGTCGAAAGCCGAAAAATGAGTTTTCGAAAATGATGGCGCATTATTTTTCCA